TTCTTTTATTGGTATATTTTAGGTATACAATTGATTTACATTTTTCATTGGGCATTTGTACCTGCACTTGATGTATCTTGGTTCTTCTTTTTTCCCAATTACCTGTGTGCCCTTCACCTCATCAACCCTTCCCTATTTACATAGACATCATTTCCATTTTTTTCTTTTCTCATAATGTTTCCTTTCCCTCCTTTTCTTTCCCCTACTCCTCTCTTCACCCCTTCATCTTTGGACTTTTTTCCTATTTCATGCAACCACTGTGGAAATCAGTATGGAGAGACCTCAAAGAAGTAGGACTAGAGGTCCCATTTGACTCAGCTATTCCCCTGCTGGGTATCTTCACCAAAGAATTAAAAGAATCATACCATAGTGACATATGTGCACCCATGTTCATAGCAACACAGTTTGTAATAGCCAAAGCTTCGAAGCAGCCCAAGGGCCCATCAATTGGAAACTGGATATAAAATGTTTTGATTAATCTTCTTTACAGTTACTAATCTAAAAACTATAAAAGGGTTTTTATAATTTCACTTTGCCAAATTCATTTGAGCACACTAGTTTTATAAGTAAATTGTCTTATATATCTGTCCAATCTTACACTGTTTTGTTTGAACTCAAAAAACTTTTTTACTTTTTGCCCTTCAAAAAATTTTTTGAAAAGATATCTGTCTACAATTTACATTGGCTTATAGATAACTATGACTCTCTTCAATTTTCTCCTCAAAGGTAAAGAAAAATAATAATGTCCATAACATTTTATAAAACTTCAAATCATGCTTTTGTTAGTCTTCATACAATTATGTTTCCAAGCTTTTGGCATCTGATTTTGAAGGGAGTTCATACACATTCCTCCTTTTTGTAAGAAAAGTGTCCTTCACGCTGTGGTATACCTTATACCATTTGCTTTGTAGGCATTTTTGTGTTTCATAATGAAAGATTTAGTAAACATCAAATGAAAATGACAAAAGTACAAGGAAGGGAGAGGCAGCATGGTGAAACAGAGGTCTCAAACAGCTTGGCTTCTACAATCAATCCTGTTCAGTAAAGTGAGCTTTAAGACAGCTTTCAGGGTCATACTAACAAGCACTCATGAAGGAGAACCCTGCCTTTTGAAATCTGGTAAATTCTTCAGATTCACAGATAGTACAGAACCATAGTTTGCATCTGCTTGTAGATGTGTGGTCAGAAAACATTATGGATACTGAAAAACTATCACCAGATACAAGGGATGAATATTACCCAAAGTTTCAGAAAGGGAGAAAGCAGAATCTTGGGATAAAATACTCATTAAGTGGGAAAGTAAACAATGGTACTGAATAAAGTCTTTGTAAGTATTTTAAGATAGTGTGGTCAGTAGTATCAAATGCAGGCTAAATCTAACCAAACAGGAAAACTACCTTATTTGAAGAATGAATTTTATATGTGAGGTGTGGACCATGTGCCTGGGTTGCCCTGTGGTATAGTACGATGGGCAGTGTTTGCATGTTCATTAAACCTCTATGAATCTGGGTCCTTCTGGCCAGAAACAGTGGCCCTGAGGATTGTGGGTAGGGGATGTCACCACCTTAATGCTCTTCATTAATGCACTGAAATGTAGAAATCATATTCATTGTTGAGCTTTGGAAGAGATGCAGTGGACTGAAACGAGTAATGTAATAGAAAGCTAGTGACCTCTTTTTATAAAAAATATTTTTCTAGTAAATAATAAACATTAAGAAACAAAAACCATGAAAACCCACAATAGCACATAAGAATCAATGTGACAGCAGAAAATGTGGCCAATGTGGCCCAAATATTGATTCCTATAGTTCAAAATAAGGAACCTGTGCCATGCTTAGGGAGCTTCATGCTGAGCTTCCCTCTCCTCATCTCTAGACCAAGGACAGTCACATCTCACACACAATTTGCACTTGATCAGTGGGAGTGAAGAATGGACACCTGTGTAGTGAATGCAGAGGATGGTGAAGGAGAGATCCTGGACCATGCAACAGAGAGAGTAGAGCATCAGCAGAACAGAGCTAGAGTCCCTTGAGGCCAGGACCTCCTCACTGTCTCCCCAAGGGCTTACCAATCTGTGTGGAGACAGAGCTGCAGGGACAGTGCCTCCAGGCTGTGTGGAGTCAAAGAGCAAACTGCAGGAGAATTCTACTTCACATGAGATCTCTTGCAGAAGAGGGGAGCTTAGTTCTAGAATTGGACTCATGAAAAAATTATGAAATCTTTCTTTGATCTCACACTTGAATCAAATAAAGTAAAAGGCAAGTTATGAGAAAAGCTATACATCATCTTTCTTAAAAGAGATACTGCCCTGATGATTTAAATCCAAAGAAACTATTTATTACATATTGTCAAGTCTTTTTTGGTGTGTATATTTCTTTGTGTTTGTTTGCTTAGACAGCTTTTTAACAAGTGCATTTGACATGAATGCTCTGGGGTGCACAGATGGACAAGGGAAGAGCCAGCATCCCCTGAGGCCAGGACCTGGCCCTTCCCCTGCTGCCTCTCCAGGGTCCACCAATCTGCAAGGAGCTGAAGGGAGATGCAGGGACAGTGTCACCAGGCTGTGGAGTGTCAGAGAGGACACTGCAGGAGGACTCTGCTTCACATGCATCTCTCCTCAGAGGACAGGGACTTAGCTCTGGAATGAAGCCAGGGAAGAAGTTCTGAAGGCTTTCTTTTATCACACTCTTAAACAAATAGAAGAAAGGGGTAACATGAGAAAATCCATGCATTGACTTGCTTAATGGAAATACTGCCCACATTATGAAAATCTGAAGAAATCATTCAATTAGTGCTGTTCAATTATGTCTGGCTTTTGCATGCTTTGATTTGTGCTTGTTTAGACAGCATATGAGTGTCGGATTTTAAATAGATGCACATGAGTGTGCAGAGCAGGTTGAGT